ATTGGTTGGATGCATCAATCGAGTACTAAATACTTCCTTTCACAAAAATTCTTTCCTTTTTAAGGTAAAAAAAAAGTAGCCTATATTTCTTACAAATATCATGACATGTATATGAATTCGTTTTTAGGATTTCTACATCTGACATGAAAACATCAATTTTGAGTTCAAACAAGTTGAAAATGTGATTTTAAATAATAATAAATAAATAAATAAAAAATCTTAAATGACCTTGACACTGTCCTGAAGGTCTGAAGGTCCTCTCTGGTTTATGGTGTCCTTGTCACATGACCCTAAAATGGTTTCCTGCATGTTGACTTTGACTTTGATTTGTGCTCTTGATTTGCTTGATTTGGTGAGAAGTTTTTATTCTGTACTTTAAAATATTTAATACTAAAAGATTATGATCTAGACTTTCTAGACTTTGAAAAATGCTAATCACAGGAGAGGTCTATATTAATTTCATTTTAATCTAATTATGAATAACGTAATAGACTAAGTGCATGTTTGCCAGTCTAGAGAAAAAAATATTAAACATACTGTTAAGAGGTTATATAGGGAGAGATGCATATGCCTTTGAGTGATTATCTTAATATTTCATGCGCACCGAGTATATTTTAATATTTCACTTTCACTATGTATATTGGATTGGAAATTATTTATTATTATTAATGTATTCATTTTATTTTAGGGCACAATCTCACTTTCCTGTACAGTTTTACCTTCCTAAACCATTGTATTTCCTGACTGATCTAAATGAATGGAATTTCTATTGTAATTTGGAACCAATCCGAATTGGATGAAACAAAAGTCATCTTAAGAATCATGTTAGATAATGCTGGATAAAAACCATGAAAAATAGGGATTTTAGTACATAAAGTAGGACATTATTTGATTCTTTGATGATTCCTGTTTTATCACATTATAATTGGTTCCAAATTATGATCAAAATTCCATTAGCATTCCTTCAGAATGTATGGATGAGGGATCAAACTGTTGAGACCAGACTATGACATTCTGTGAGACTCCTTGTGCCTCGCTCTTTCTGTTTCTGCTTTCTCATATTCATGACTGCAGACTATACCAGAACAAGTTAAGACACTTTCTTTTTTTACCTTAACCCCTTAACTGTCAGACCCCATTTTTGAACATACTGTAGACGTGAAAGTGCACTATCCAATCTTAAAATCTAATAATTCAAGAACGCTTTAGAATACAGACCTAAGGTTGGTCTCGTTTTAAAGAAGACAATCAGCAGGTTATTGTTTGAAAAGTTATAGAAGTTTAAATTTACTGTAAAGAAAATGCACTGTACTCATTTTTTTAAATTTTATATAAAATAAATATTTTACAAAATGTTTTAATCCAAAATTGCAAAAAATTGCAAAAAAAAATAAAATTAAAGGCTTATATCTAAATAAGTTATGTTCCAAATTTGAAAGAAGTTTAAATTTACTGTAAAGAAAATGCACTGTACTCATTTTTTTTAATTTTATATCAAATAAATATTTTACAAAATGTTTTAATCCAAAATTGCAAAAAAAAAACCAAAAAAAATTTAAAGGCCTATATCTAAATAAGTTACGTTCCAAATTTGAGGTTGATAAAAAAAATGTCCCTGTGAGATTTTATTTAGGGTGTTATACCAAAAACAGCTACCGGGTGACACCCAAACTCCATTGAAATTGTTTGATACATTTTTCTGTCACAGAGGTATACATTTCTCTCTCAATATTACTTCTATCTCAAAATAACCACAAAATATGGAATCTTGAGACTCAGACCTTTCCGACGATGTGTATTTTGTCAAGATTATAACATTTTTTATTATAAAATACCATAATACATTTTGTAATATGACACTTGACACCATTCACTAAGGGGAGGAGACCGCCAAAAGATTTTAAAGTACCATTTTCATGGTAACGCATGGTGTCTGATTTCAAAATGGTTTTCATAGGATGAATCTTGAGTTTCTAAGCTTTATATATGATATATAATTTATGATGATTACTAAAATATGTGATAGCGAAAAAAGACAACAAAAAAGAGACATAACGTGTTTGTGAGCTATTTTTTTTATTATGTGCCCATCTGATTTGTATGCATCGATACTAATGTAGCTGTAGATGTAACATTAGCATGATTCAAAAGCCCAGAAAGGTTTAAATGAACTTGAGAACATCTTCTTTAAAATTTGTGCTCGTCCTTAAAGCGATATTTCACCCAAAATGAAAATGCTGTCATTAATTTCTCACCCTCATATCGTTCCAAACCTGTAAGACCTTCGTTCATCTTCAAAACACAAATTAAGATATTTTTGATGAAATCCGAGAGCTTTCTAATTCTGACCCTGCATAGACAACAATGCAACTGACACATTCAAAGCCCAGAAAGGTAGTAAGGACATTGTTAAAATAGTCCATGTGACATCAGTGGTTCAACCTTAATTTTATGAAGCTACGAGAATACTTTTTCAAAGAAAACAAAAATAAAGACTTTATTCAACAATTTTTTCTCCTCCATGTCAGTCTTCAACATGCGCTCACAAGAGTACCTTGACGCATGCGTGTGCATTCCTCTGCTTGTAAACAAGGTGCAGTGCATCCGGGTTCTATGTCAGAACGCCGGCTCCTGCGTCAGCAGCACCACACGTATGCGTCATGGTACTCTCATGAACGCGTACGCATCAAAGACTGACAAGGAAGAGAAGAAATTAGTGTTGTGTTTAGCAAGATGTACGAACCTAATAAAATCCTTATGTCAGTGTTTGATGCTCTGTGATCGAATGGCCTCTAGGATGTTAGTAGGAGTTTAATGTAAATCCTGTTATATGATGTGATCTATTGTTCCTGTTTAATAGAGCGATAGATTTATGCTTTCAGGGGTTTACTAGCATAAAAAAAAACATAACAGGTCCTGACAAAACAACATAACTGATTTGTTACGCAAAAACAGGCTGGCACTGCAGAGCAGACATGAAATTGCACGTCCTACAGAAGGCATTGATCTGACAGGTCTGAATATTTTATTTGAACTTTCAAAATAATGAAAGTCTCTTTTCATAAAATGAAGACGTGAAGGAAGATTACCTCCATCAGTAATAACCCTAATCCTCATCCTTCTGAGCACATTGAGAGAACAGCTCATTCGCAGTTGTAGTTCAAGTCAGCGTGTCGAAAACGAAGATAGCTGGTTACCTGTTGTTTCTGTTTTGGATGTGTTTTCTTCCAAAAGAAGGACATCTCTACATTCTGATGCCATGAATCGAGAAGGAGTTTCCGTTTTGTTGACAACTTTGTTCTCTGGTTTGCTGCTCCTTTGTGTTTTGGCACTGCTGTGTTTCTTCACCTGCAGACTAGCTTCAAGAGTTCTGCCTGTTGGAGCCCCACTGCGTTTTTGACAGAGCTTGTGAATGAGCCTCAAGTCATGGTAAAAGTGTCTCTGTAGCAGAACTAATAGGAAACGAACTGCTTAGATGTTCACTGGTTCAGGTCTGACACAGGAAACAAAAGCCTTTAATACTTGCATTAGTGGTTGGTTGTTGGCTTCCCAATGATTTTTATGATAGTGAACTTCATATGTACACACACACACACACACACACACACATATATATATATATATATATATAAATATATAATGCAACTGCAGTGATTAAATTCATTACACTATAAATGAAGCAAATGATTTCCCGCCATGTTTTTCACAAAACTGCGTGAGAAGTACCAGACATGATGGGGGACTGAAAGAGCTGTGCATTTACTCAAGCATTTCATAAGAGATAAATATTTCATTGCATTACGTGACTAGCACAATGCCAATTTTTATTCAGTTTTACAAATGTAAATACAAAGTGGTCAAAGCTCCAGCAAGGGTAATGTATAGGTTGATTGAACACATGGCTTTTGATACTGATTGATGCTTTCTGCGCAATGACTAAAGATCCCATTAAAAGGATGTGAAATAAGATGAGAAAGTGTGTGTTCGTAATAGAAATCTTGCGATCCTGTGCCTTGGAATAGAGGTGTCTAGTTAATCAGCTTTGTCATGCCTATTAAAGTGCCATGTGCAGTGGCACTCAATCCCATTAAAGTGACCTTGACTAAAGAGAAGACAGAAAGGTTTAATACTAATGCACCCATATTACGTTTTCAGGTGTGAACTTTTAGGTAGCTAAACAAATTAATGTGCAAATATGCCACTAAATTATTGTTTGTATCAGTTTTTATGACATGCATCCCTAGCTGAAACTCATATTTCAGTTGTTTTTGCTCATGAATATAAGATTACGATGGAAAAAATAAGCCTTGGGATGGTAAATAGTTGTTTTCCGTGCTTAAAGGTGAAGCGTGTCATTTCTGCTCAACTGTAGTGGCACCACACGTAACAGCAACAATAATAATTGTTTTCAAATGAAAAATACCTGGAGAAATGTAGCCCCGCCCCAAATTCACGCCATTGGTTGAGCTAACATTATTATGTTAGACCGTTCAAACAAATAGATTGAAGTGCCACAGTCACACAGAGTTCAAATCAGCATACGAATGGCTTACTTATAGTTATCTCTGAACAATAAATTGGGAATAGAAGAAATATTTTAACATTGACAATTACTGTTTTCATTACAGATCTTGGAGTCTTCTGACATCCTTGGAACGCGAGTTGTTCTGCAAAACGGCGGCTGATAGATGACAACATGAAGGTCGCTGCACTCTTTATCCTCGGTTGCCTGGTTTGGGGAGGAATGGCAAAGCCTGAATTTCCAGGTCAGTTAAGACTATTTTTTGTCAGGTTTCTTTTGGTTTATTGGCCTTTTGACTTTATTAGATAGGACAATGAATGACACTTTTTCTTTGCAGCGATGAGCGTATTGTCTCTTTACTCTCCTTATAGCAGAGGTACTGAATCCTGTTCCTGAAGATCTACCTTCTTGCTGAGTTTACGTCCAGCCCTTAACCAAATACTTGTGAACCAGCAAATCAAGATCTTCAGGAAGACTTCTGGATAATAACAAACATTAATGCTGGAGCAGGGTTGGAACTAAACTCTGCTGGAAAGTAGCTCTGTTGTAACAGGAATGAGCGCCACTGCCTTGTCATTTGCTTGCAGTGTCTTTGATTTATAGAGAGTTATATGGTGTCAGATGAGTGCTTCATAAATGGTGTAACACCATCTCAGACCACTGAAGTTTAATAGTCTTCTTTTTGACCTTGGCCCAAGTATAGACAGAATAAAACTCATTTCAAATGTACATTAGCTTCCATTAGAAGATTGGACCTTTGGGTCAGATGGTCCCAGATATTTTCATTTACGTGATTGTGGGTTTTAAGAAGCTTATGTGGAATGAAGAAGACATGCATAAAATAGAAATTGAGTTGTTGTTCTTGTCAAAGTAAAAGCGTCTGCTAAATGACTAAAAGTAAAGTAAAAAGTAAAGTAAATTCATCTCAGTTTGGTTTAGAGAGAGATAGCATACTCATAATCTCTAAATGGAGACTTCCAGTCTAAGGCCATGATCATTATCTTGTTTTGCAGGCGCATCTTTGTTAGTTGTGTTATAATTTGTGGGCAAACATGTAAACATGTTTTCTTACGGCTTGTAGAACCAGAGAAGGATCCTGATTTCTGGAAGGAATGGGCTCAGCGCACACTAAAAAATGCTTTGACCCTCCAAGACCTCAACAAGAATGTTGCCAAGAACATCATCCTTTTTCTTGGTGATGGTAAGTCTTGAAATTGGTGGATCTTATCATGAGATATTTGTGTGGTTATAGCATGTTGAAATATGTTCATTCAAATAATATCTATGCACTTTTTTTGTTCAACCAAGCCTTGAAAACGGTTTGTGCAATACCAGCTATAACATAGGTACAACATAAAGAGTTAAATATTTTTAAAAGCTCTTTCACAGTGTATGAACCTGCTTTAAAATTAAGCATTAACATGGGCAGTGTTGGAGACCAAGTTAAGGAGCAATAAACAAATTAACCACACAGCCAATGTCAGGATGAACTCCAGCTTGCACAATCTATGCAAGCTGGCCAAATTTGAGAAAAAAAACAATGGTTATCAAAATAAGCCTTGGCAATAAAAGCAAGGAAGGAAAGAAGGAAGAGGTAGTCTGAATATTCTTAGCAGAAAACAGAGAACTATGTTAAAACTCATCCAATTTTACGGGAAGAATTTGGCTTATTTTACACCACACCCCTGTGAAACCAATGGCGGCATAAAAACACCAGTTTACAAAAACCTAAAAAAGATATCTAATGAAACCTCAGTTAAGATTTATGTAGATGTATTGCAGTTCTCATTGTCCACTATGACATAAACCACATACCAGCCACAAAAAGGATGATTTCACATAAAGGAATATCCAGAAGCCATATATCACATATCTAAAAGCCATGGTTGAAATACAGATAGAAGAAGATTTGGATCAGTTGACCTGTTGATTCATGCATTAAGATTATTGAAATTGTAATGTTTCCAATGATTTTCTTGGAGGTCAGCCAACCAAGTTCAGAAAAAAGACTTATAACCTATTTTATTAAAGGGGTCATATGATGCGATTTAAATTTTTCCTTTCTCTTTGGAGTGTTACAAGCTCTTGGTGCATAAAGAAGATCTGTAAAGTTGCAAAGACTAAAGTCTCAAATCCAAAGAGATATTCTTTATTCAGACCGATTAGTTTTGTAAAAATCGACGCGTTTCAAAAAGGCGGGGCATAGAGGAGAAACAATAATGTACAGTATGTGGAAAATAATGTGTTTTTTAAACTTTAAACCGCATAAACACATTTCATTACACCAAATACACCAAATAATGTTCTTTTTAGCAGCATCATATGACCCCTTTAAAATATTACGTCACTCAAAGCCATGATAATTTGATGTTGATTAAGTAACCACTCTGACAGATTAGTGAGTTCATTCAAGGACTGGGTTCAATGGTCCATCAAACGGTAATTCCTGAATTGTTTTGTACAATACTTTAAAAGGACCGTCTCATGAGAGTCCTTTGATCATGAATTCGAATTCACTGGTTGTGCTGTATGTGTTTAATTCTTTTAAAGGTGACATATCATGAAAATCTGACTTTTCCAGGTTTTAAGTGCTATAATCAGGTCCCCGGTGCATCTACCAACCAAGGAAACGTCTAATGCCATGGCGGAAGTTTGAGCAAAACATGCTAACTGTTCTACCTTTGTCTGCACAGACTAGCACAGAACAATATTTACATCTAAAATAAACATGCGATTTATTTCCCAGCAGTTTACCTTCGCAGACATAACCGACTGTTTTTGTAACTCATGTGTTTTAAACGTAAACTTGTGTGTGAATGAGAACTTAGTTTAGTACTCACATGCTGTGACAGCCGCTTTCTGTGCGTGTGCTTCGGATGTGTGCGCTCAGAAAACCTTATATCTGAAGTTGAAACTCATATGGTTTAAAACGCATGATTTCAGCGCGATAAACATGATAATCAGAACCATAACAGTTGTTTTTTAGCAGGCCTGAGCTGTAATGGCGCAGCTGTATTCTGGAAAAGGGGGCGGGGAGCAGCAGCTCATTTGCATTTAAAGAGACAGGCCCAAAAAACAGCGTGTTTCTGCTTCCACTCAAAATAGGCATTTTCAAAATGATATAATAAATGATCTGTGGAGTATTTTGAGCTGAAACTTCACAGACACATTCTGGGGACACCAGAGACTTATATTACATATTGTAAAAGGGGCATAATATGTCTCCTTTAAAAGAACTGGTGTAAAAGAGTCACTTGTTCGTGAGTCGAACCACACTGAATGTATTTGATTAACTAAATAAATAACCAGATGAAAGACTCACTTGTTTGTTAGACCAGACTACACAACTCAAAGTTTTTTGCCATTATTTTGTTGTACACAGTCTTTTCATCTCATGTTTGGACTGCAAAACACGGGTAAAATATAACTTAATTTGCTAGTTCACTGTGGAAAATGTTGGCAAGACCAGTCTTGGGGTTTTAAAAGTCGATATTGTTCAAATGAAGATCGCATTTTAATTGCTTTAATTGCTCATTTTTATATTTTAAAGTACAATTACAAGTCATAGTTGCAGCTAAAGCCCCCCTCATTTCACATAATTCTGTCAGGACCACTATCGTCAAAGATGATTGACAATTAGCATACAGTTTGGATTGGCGGTATGGTTCTGTTCTGGGCAAGAACTCCCTGCGCCTCCATGCAGCCTAGCATGGATGAGAGCAGGGAGAGCAGCAATAACCCCCCAGGGTAAACAGAACTAACATAAATGTATTGCAGATATTGTTAAGTTCAATCATTTTATGTACACATTTAGAATTAGTCTGATTCAAGGAGAATCAGAAGGCTGAATCCCGACTGACAGAGGAGGAGTTGGGGATGGAGAAGGGTAATTAGCTATTGAGCAATGCGAAAACTGCTGATAATACTGAGGGACCTTATATATGAATGCTTAGATAGGTGTCGTATTCCCATAGGTAGATGGGGATCAGCTGAGAGTCAGCTGATGCGAGCTTGACTAACGTGACCTGCCAGAACTAACGCTACGCTTGATTTACATTACAATAATTACATTTTGAAGCACTGTGTAATATTTCATGATTTATTTTAAGCTTAAGGCTTAAAGACAGACTTTGTGAACTCTTTTCAGTGTGATTGTGCTTTTTGAACATTTTTTTCTGAGCATACAATTTTGTACAGTTCTGCAAGCTTGAGATTTTTAAGTGTACACTAATTTGCCTCATGCTTTTAAGTATAGCAGGTCATTAAGTGACAAGTGGTCCTTTCATCTCACAATTCAACAACAAAATTCAGGATTTCATTTGAGAATGGCTTGTTCATCAACATAATAACATAATAATATATTATATTATATTATATTATTATATAATAATTTCTCAAGCACCTTTGATGTCCTGAGGTACAGGAAGACTGTTGTTCGTGATAGAAGGTGCTTGAAGGATATGTATGTAGTTAAAAATAGACTGTGTGAATGATCCAACCTTTGTTGTGTGTAGGCATGGGTGTACCCACGGTCACAGCAGCACGGATTCTAAAGGGTCAAATGAGTGGACAGAGCGGTGAGGAAACACAACTAGAGATGGACAAATTTCCCTACATTGCCCTCTCTAAGGTACATTCCATGTGCTGTAATCCTATCATACCATTCCTTTGTGTTCATAAGCCATGCAGTCGCTCACCCGGACCACAGAGAACAGATTCAAATCATAGTTTAATTTCTCCAGCGGGCACAGTTCTGGGATGATGATTCTCACGTAAATATTTCACAGATGTTAGCTATTATTAAAATAACATCTGTGAAAGATAGTCAATTATTATCTCCTAGATTTATTCAGCTGTTTTCTTTTTGGCTTCATGTAAACTTTTCACTTAACCCTATAAAGCCTACTCTATCATATTTTATCTACGCATTTCTAAGGCCTCTATATTACTAACATGATTGAAATTGCTGAAAAAAACTGTTGTACACAATCTACTACATGCCTTTTGACATCCGATTGATATTTTATGTGTTATCAGCAAGTAAAAGGCCTTTTAGTATAATTCTAAAAACTTTCATCTTACTAAGACATATTATTGCAGGATATAGAGTAACAACTTATGTATATGCATTTTATGTAAATATTCTGCTATACTGCTATAAAGATCTCATTGATTTACTTTGCAAGCTAAGATGTTCATCTTATATTTTGGCCGTATATAAATGTCAGCAACTGCACCAAATTTCATATTTTTGCTCAGCTTGGGAATAAAATTTAGATATTTTTTCCTCCTTGTGTATGAGCTCCATATTCTCCTATATCATACTATAAGAGCCATAAAAGTCAGATGTATCGAATATGATTCTCAACCACAAACACATGTAGAAACCTTTACATATTTTGTCTAAAGGTTTAATAAACTGTTCCATTTCTGAATTTTTTTCTGAATATTATTTCATATGTCAAGTTTTACAGGGTTTTGACTATTTTTTATTAAATGAAAAAAAAAATATATATATATATAAATGGTCTCAGACTATTGGACTCATTATAAAAATCATTGTTTGTAGTCACGCTAAATGCTGAAAATTGCCGAATGAACAATTATTTAGCTACACTAAGTGCACTAAGTACACTTTAATTTTGCTCTTGTAAACAATCCCTGCAGTTATTAAAATTGTGCACGTTTTTTCCCCCAGACGTATAACACCAATGCTCAGGTACCAGACAGTGCGGGCACTGCCACGGCATATCTGTGCGGTGTCAAAGCCAACGAGGGTACAGTTGGAGTGAGCGCAGCAGCTGTAAGATCCCAGTGCAACACCACTCAGGGGAACGAGGTCACCTCCATTCTTAAATGGGCCAAAGACGCAGGTAAGATGCGCTGTTGAATCCTCCCACACAGCAGCTATAATGCCTTTCTGCCCCCGACATCTATTGCAATTAGAATAAAGATGGGATATTTGTTTCTAGGCTTATTTTTTTTATAGCAATCCATTAGCTTGTTTTTGCATGAGAGAAACAAAGGTGACACTGGCACATAAAGCAGATTGAGCAGATAAAGGATTGAAGAAAGTGGGAAAAAAATTCTGAAGTAAAGGAATAAATGAGAAGAGCGACAGTTTGACCAATGAGCGCAACACGCAGATGGCTTGCTCATATTTTATTCTCATGTTGAAAATAAAAACAAATGAAGCATTTTATAAGACGGAAGTCCTCCGCCGAAGGTAGAGGTGAATGAAAGTAGCCGAGTGGAATTTGTACGACATGACCAGAATAAACATTTAAAATCCAGCTGAGAGGTTTAAAAGGAGGATGTCCAATCAGTGTCAAACTGATAACCTGACCTGATCTGAGTAAAGGGAAAAATGCTCTTTCACTTGGGTGCTTGTGTCCAGAGAAAGCATTAAAATAGTGTACCATACAACTGTGTGACTTTAGCCAGACTTACAATCAAGTGGTTTCCTTATCCAGTACAGTATTGCAAAGCTGATGCAGTGCAATTTTCAGTTGGTTTATGCTTAGTCAGTCTGTTGATTAAATATTTATCATTGAATTACTAGATAGATGAGGAAAAAATACGTAATCCTGTTGAATATTGATATAGTGGTAATCATGGACATGCCCCTACAGGAACAATTAACAGTTGCAACTACCTGTATTTTCCCCAGGCAAATCAGTGGGAATCGTCACAACAACACGAGTGAACCATGCCACTCCGAGTGCAGCATATGCTCACTGTGTAGACCGGGACTGGTATTCAGACGGGGACATGCCCACTGAAGCACTGCAGAGCGGATGCAAAGACATTGCCAGACAACTCTTTGAAAATATCCCTGACATTGATGTGAGTTTTTTAATGATTATTTTCAAATTTAAAAAATTGGTTTTATATAGTGTCGTGCTGGGTCATTCAATATATGGTTCTGTTAATATTGTGTTTGTTTGCCTAGTTTTATACTACCAAGGTTTATATTAATATAATAGGATACAGTGAGGACTACAATTCTGAGATCACTAGTTAAAATGCTTCTGTTTTGCATAATTTATAGTAAAATATTTAATTTTATTTTATTATTATTATTATTATTATAGCTAAATATAATATGTACTGTATATTCATTTTTACCTATACAAATGTATTAAATGAAAAAAATTCATGATTTAAAATATGAATTAATAATAATAACAACTTGCTATTATTATTATTATTATTATTAATATTTATATAATTGAATAATAATAAAATTTAAAATATATATTTAAAATATTGATGTCAAATTATTGTATCAACAACAACAAATAATAATAAGAATGTATTATTATTATTAGTAGTAGTAGTATTAATAATATTGATAAAATAAAAATATGATTAAATAAATTATACAATACTTTGTTGTTATTAATAATAATATTGATAAAATATTTAGTTAATATTTAAAATTTTATTTAATATATTTACATTTTATTTAATATATTTACATTTTATTTAAATATAATAACAATAATAATAAATATTTAAATATTAAATAATAAGAATTATAACTACTATTATTAATATCATTGTTCATATGAATATAATGAATATTTACAAATATTTTAAATATTAATTACAAATTATATTAATCAGCATAGCAGTTAGAGTTATAAATAGTGCAGATTTTTAAATATTTCTACTTCACTGTACATCATAATGTTTATTTGTTTTACATTTTCAAAATCTTAAATGGATTTGGTGTAAATTAGATTTTTTTTTTTTGACAGCAGCACTGTGTACAGTAAATGTGTGTGTGTGTGTGTGTGTGTTGTGTTCTCTTTTCTTCTTGGTTTGGATGGGCAGGTGATAATGGGGGGTGGGCGGAGAAATATGTACCCCAGAAACACACCAGATGTGGAATACCCAGGAGACAAGAAACACAACGGTACACGCAAAGATGGCAGGAACCTTGTGGGGGAGTGGATTGACAGAGTGAAGGATAAGGTGAAACATGAAACAAGGGGAAAACAGGGAACTTCATTCCATCTTTTCATTTACAATGTCATGTTCAGTTCAGGGGAAAAAAGCTTCCACGCTATGCCTCTGCTGACAAATCTCTTTTTAATTTTCTCTCTGTGTTTGCCTGATTCTGGCGGTGTATTTGTGCTCTTTTAATGATGCCCTGTTTATTGACTTCTCTGAATTTAATCTGATGCTCTTGAGGCCCCTAAAGCAGGCTTTACAGCTGCACAGCTTAATAACCAATGAAGACAATTTGTACTTGTTGTGAGACCGTATTACAGAGATTTGGTTGCAAGATATTGGATCATAGCAGTGTAATACGTTCTATAAAGCATCTAGATAAGAGGGTACAGTCATTTCTCTAAACAGTTTCTTTGTTTCTTTCTTAACCTTTGTGTAATCAGAAAGGTTACTATGCTTGGAACAGGAAGGATCTCCTTTCCCTGAATCCAAATAATGTGGATTATCTTTTGGGTGAGTTTTATAAGCATTGATTAAGTGACCTCGTTTATGATGTTGTTTTGCTTGTTCTGTTTACGTTGTTTTCTTGTTTTATTTGCACTGCAGGTCTGTTTGAGCCGGCAGACCTGCCCTATGAGCTTGAGAGAAACAAAGAAACTGACCTTTCCCTCACTGAGATGGTAGATGTGGCCATTAAGATCCTCAGAAAAAATGAACGTGGGTTCTACTTGCTGGTGGAAGGTAAAAGTATAGTGTACATCACTGTTCATTAAATCACAGTTGTGTAATGGGAGGTCAGTTCAACATCTGATTAAACTACTAACAATTATTTTGCATTTCTCAGTGCTGGGGAGGTTACTTTCAAACTACTGCAATTTTTGTATTTATATATATATATATGCTTTTTATTAGCTTTTAATACTTTATAATCAGGGTTGGGGAGTAACGAAATACATGTAACGTTTTATTTAAAATACAAAATATGAGTAACTGTATTTCATTATAGTTACATTTTAAAGGGGTGGTAATCAAATAACAGTTACATCCAAAAAAGTGTTTTAGATGACCAAAGTGATTACTTTGAATTTTAATGTCATTTATTTAATATAATATTAATGTAAAATAATTGGAAATTTTAACCAATGAGGCAACTGGATTTTTCAAGATGGTGCCGATGGCCTGCCGTCTGCCTTTGTTACACAGTCTGTTTAGTATCACGTTGTTTGTCTTATTTGTGACTTGGTTAATACGTGACTCTACATCTGCACTGATCTACGATCTTCGTACACTTTTAAACATTCGAATCTCTTATGAGAAGTATGTTACAGAAGAACGAGGAGATCGTTCTGAGACCGCATCGCCCCTTAATATCCCTACATGGTTGCAACGTGAGTCTTGACCCCCCCTTGCTGAACGTTTTCCGAGCTTTGAACTTCAAGCCTTTGAAATACAGATGCTGAGCCCTGTGCTCTGTGCTTTTATTTATCGGCCACCTAGACCAAATAAGGATTTTATTTCAGAGTTGTCTTCCTTTTTAGGGTACGTGTTACTGAAATATGACAAAGTTTTAGTGCTGGGGGATTTTAATATTCATGTCTGTTGTCCATCAAGTTCTTTGTCTGAAGATTTTTATAATCTTATAGACTCTCTAGGCTCTCAGCAAATGGTTAATGGCTCTACTCACTCTCATGGTCACACATTGGATCTGATTCTGTCTCTTGGTCTACCAGTCAGAGACATTACCATAGATGACTTTGTATTAGCTGATCATAATCCCATTCTTTTTACTGTCTCCTTTCCTTGTCAGCGAAAGAGAGTCTGCCATGCAAAGCGTTGGGGGCCAATTAATTCAAACACTCAAGTTGACTTCAATGTGACCTTCCTGGAAATACTGCAGTGCTTAGAATTAGACTTTTTTTCACCTCATCTTGGTGTGGAGGAATCTGTTCATGTTTTTACTCAATTTGTTCTAAAACATTCAATATTGTCGCTCCTTTGAAGCAGGTAAATAAAAAGCATAAATCAGCCCCGTGGTTTAATGAGTATATTCGTTCCTTAAGACGGGTATGTAGAAGATGGGAACGAAAATGGAAAAAAGATAAGTTACAGATTTCTTATGAAATACTAAGAGATTCTCTGTCTAAATTCCAAAGGGCTGTAAGAACTGCTAGATCGAGGCACTTTGCAGATCTTATTGAGAAAAATCGTCATAATCTTTGGGTTCAATTCATCGACGATAGATTCCTTTATTAATCCCAGATTAGAGGTGGTAGGAGACCTGTCTGTTGAATTATGTGACTGCTTTTTAAATGTTTTCATAAATCGGATATCAAATGTACATAATAACATTAGTCACTGTTCGTATGCTGTTGTTCAGCAATCTGTATCTGGTGTTACTTTCTCTGATTTTGAGCCGATCCCTCTTTCAGTCCTTATTGTAAAGTCTACAACTTCTCCTCAAGATAGGGTTCCGACACATTTGTTAAAGCAAGTTTTCGAATCAGTTGGCCCATTTATAGTGTCTATAATTAATAAGAGTTTGCTTTCGGGGGTTGTGTCTGACTACTGTAAACACGCAGTGGTTCAACCTCTTTTGAAGAAATCAAACTTGGATAAGAGTGTGTTAGCTATTTTTAGCTAAACTTCCATTCTTTGCTAAAATTATGGAGGAGAGCATCCTCATACAACTTAAGTCATTTATTGATGCAAATGAGATCTGTGAAGTGTTTCAATCAGGTTTTAAAAAACATTACAGTACGGAATCAGCTTTGATGAGAGTGTTTAATTATATTTTTCTTGCGACCGACCATGGTAATTTCACTGTACTTCTACTCCTAGATCTGATGGCAGCGTTTGACACAATTGACCATCATATTCTTATATCTCGTCTTGAAACGTGTGGGTATTTGTGGAAATGCCCTAAGATGGATAAAGTCATACTTCCAAAATAGGAGTGTCTTGGTCCGCATGGGAGAGTATGCATCGGCCTCGGCACCCCTATCATGTGGTATCCCCCAAGGTTCAATCTTAGCATCCTTTTTCTTTTCTCTTAATATGCTACTGTTAGGATTTATTTTGGGTAAATTTGGTGTGTCATTTCATTTGTACGCCGATGATACTCAATTATATTTGTCTTTTAACCCAAACTCTTCCAGTGCCTTGGGGCAGGTGAAGTAATGGATGGCTGAAAACTTTTTGAGTCTTAATGAATCGAAAACAGAGGTGACTATATTTGGTCCCTCTGAAATGAGTGATACGGCTAGATTAAACCTGGGTACATTGAGCATTTTTAGGAAACATCAAGTAAAAAATTGGGGGAGCCCCTGTGACAGTGCTTTAAAAGTTAATTAAAGCTGGTTTTTATCAACTAAGAATGATTGCTAAGATTAAGGCTTTATTTTCTCTCAAATAGATTATTGTAATTTTGGACAGATTACAGATGGTTCAGAATGCAGCAGCAAGATTACTGACAGGTACTCGGAAATATGACCATATTACCTGTCTTGAGAACATTGCATTGGTTACCAGTGCCTTATAGAATTAATTTTAAGATTTTAATCTTTGTTTTTAAATCTTTGCATGGTACAGCCCCTCCTTACATTGCTGATCTTATTCATGTTCATGAGTCAAAGAGATCATTATGACCTAATGCAAGACTAATCCGTCTGGGTTAGTTTTGAACGGTGTGTATTATTGTTCTTTCATGATTATTAATTATTATTATTTTTATTAGATTTCTTTATACATTACTGTGGTCAACTTTGTTGTTTTATTATGTGCTTTATAAATAAAGTTGGATTGGATTGGATTAGAGCTGTTGATTCTCTGACTCTGACTCTCATGCAGCCTGTTCAAATAGCAACCTGGCCTGCAGAGTGCAGACTAGTGACGACGACTCACTAAAATCAGAGCCGATCCTCCTTATACACAAAATACGCAAGCTGCGTAGGGCCCCCGAAACACCAGGGGGATGGTGCAAAGGACCCCTTTGAATTTGGCCAGCGGTTATGAAAACATGAATGATCATTTATTTTAATGCGGTGTGCTGTCGCCCTTTCTACGTAAAAATCAGTCAAATTATGTAATGTGAATGTCGTACAGTCTTGTTCGAGACTAAAAAACGAGTTGAAAGCGTACCGAGCCGCGGAAGAGACACTGTTTCTCAAGCGCTTTCCACGACCGCGATTCGAGACGGAGTGAAACACGGACAAATGCGTTTCATTTATTGCGTTTACACTTACTGTAAATAGCATCTATTGCTATTTGCACTTAATGCAACTAGCCACTGCCTTCAAAATAAATCCACATTAGAAGAGTTGCGTGTCTGCAAGCAACATTTTGTTCCTGAATGAAGCCACGTTTTGAACGAATCAGCTGAGAGAATGATTCAATTCCATTCATTAAATCACTTGCTTAATTCCTCATTTTGAGTCATTTTGAACTAATCGAATGATTCCATGATTCTTTCATTAAGACAGTGATTTAGTTTGTTTCTTATTTAAAAAAATATTTTCCTCCCATCATTTTCTATATTTCTATGTTCTAAATTTTGTTTTAAATGCATTCACGCTACACATTTTTATTTAGAAGTGGTTAACATAAAAACAAGACATCAAAGTTAATACGCCCCTTACCTTAAAGGCACAATATGTAATTTTCGCCACTAGAGGGCACTTATTCAAAATACTCTTTGTTGTAACTCTTTGTTACAAAGGCTTAGTTTGATGAGGTGGTGACTGAGTGTGGAATCATGGGAGTTGTTGTCTTCATCCCCACAGTCAATGCAATCCGACGGGACTCGGGCAGAAATCATGTTTATGGATGAGCTAATGATTTATTAACGTAGTAGAATGAAGCAGGGTGAGGCTGAAAGCCGTAGAAAAGGGAAACGATCATTGGCAGGCGACACAATGACACTATGGACACGCTCCGTGTCTCTAGTTAAAATTGCTTATTTCTCTGGATTTAAACATTCTTCGAAACATTTGGGATAATGTAAGTACACAAGTCAGCAAAATATATAACACTGTTCTAGTGGTTTTCGGATATTTAAATAAAAAAATCTTACATATTGTGCCTTTAAGTATTCCAAAGTATTTAGATTATATTACTAAAATTAAGTTAGAAAATACTTTTTAAAGCATGTATTTTGTAATCTGTAACAAAATACATTTTAAAATTAATCTTCCCAAATCCCAACCCTGTGTGTATACACACACACACACACACACACACACAAAACAATTATACACACAAAATGCTCTTTTTATTAAATAGATTTCTAAATATGATAATATAATTATAAATACTGCATATAGAAATATATGTGATCAAAAAAGATTTTTAAAAATCTGATTGAAATAAGAAAACTGTAATACAAAAAAAAATATACAAATGTATAAAACTAAACTACAAGCATAGTTCTAACCTTTGGCATTTATACATTTTTTTCACTAAACTTTTAGATGACGAATAATGAGTTGAATAAATTCATTTGAAGCATTCATTAAAATTAATTTGACAATTGCCTCAGATTGCTTGTAGCACTACGTGACAAAAATATCACACTAAACCACTTATTAATTAAATTAAAATGAGTTAATTAACTTAAAAGCTGCACTACAACAGCTTAGCTACTGTCACAGTACATAAAAATGTAATGTTTGCAGGATTGCTACTTTTAATTAATTTTACTTTTAATTAACTCCCCACCATTGTGTATTAATGTAGGATTAAATGTTTAAATATTGCTGCTGGTTTTAAAGAGAAATGGCTTGTATGGCTTCATGCTCTGGATGAGATCCCTGACTGGGCTGTATGCTGGCAGGTGGGCGCATTGATCACGGACACCATGAGGGGAAAGCCAAGCAGGCCTTGCATGAGGCCGTGGAAATGGACCGGGCCATTACCCGAGCCGGTCTCCTCACCAGCATTTATGACACACTAACTGTCGTCACGGCTGATCACTCTCATGTCTTCAGCTTTGGAGGCTACACACCACGGGGAAACTCAATCTTTGGTAGGTAATGAAAGCTCAAGGCATGTTGGGAGAACTTTAATTACAGAGTATGGTGTGATTTCTCGGTGGTTTATGGCCCAGACTCAGACCTTTAAATGTCTTTTCCTAAGGTTTGGCCCCCACTGTGAGTGATATTGATCAGAAGCCCTTCACATCCATTCTCTATGGAAATGGCCCAGGGTTCAAGATGGTTAACAGCACTAGAGAAAATGTCTCAACTGTGGACTACGGTAAGTAATTACAGGCTGATCGCTTCCTGATTCTGCCTAGGTCCTCCTACTTTTGGGATACTTGGAATGTTGGGATTTTTGGAATTATTTTTTTTTGCTTTTCTATGGCATGTTGTGTAGTTGCTAAAACAAATAATGTAAAACGTCTATATTCTAAAGAGCATACAGTAAGGGTGGATATACAGCTCTAATTGAAATGCTTACAATTCATTTTGAGGACACGAAAGAGCCTGGTTAGAAATCAAGTTTAGAATATACCATATCAGGGCCCGTATTCATGAAAATTCTTAGTGCAAAGAGTTGCGACAGAATTCTAAGACAATTCTTAGAAAAGTGGGCTTTTCCCTTTAAAAATAAAGAGAAGATCCTAGTAAAGATAAAAGTTATTCACAAAGCAACTTAACCCTTGAAAGAGCTCTTAAGGTCAAAAAGTGTTAGGAGTAGGGAGGAGGATTTTTAAGAGGCTTTCTTTTTAGTTTCTTTAGCAGAGGAGAAAATGGCCAAAAGACGAAGAGGGAGAAGAATGTGTTGCAGACAATGGATGACAGTGACTTAATAAGATGCTAGATTAGATCATGCAGGGATCATGTTTGTGACCTTGTGATCTTATTAGAGATACAACAACATCTATATGTATTAGATGTTTTTGTCTTTTCCTCACTCAGAGTTGCTCTCAGATTGGTCCTGAATCACTCTTAAGCTAAGATTCCTTGTTAGAAATTTTAAAGCTAAAATAGGAGCTCTCTGAGAGGATTTTTAGAAGCTTTAGGAATACGGGCCCAGATTTGTGGATCTGCTTCTTGGAAATTGATTCTTCAACATTTTTTTTAAATAGAGAGATGGAGTAGATATATATTATTGTACAGCACTGTTCAACAATTCAATCAATAAAAAAAATACGTGCTGCTTACGCTTGCGGTGTGAAAACGGCCTTATACAGTATGTTCACTTTTACATTCAACTCTAAAACACTTGCATTGCTTACCAGACATGTCGCTCGCTACAGCTGCTTGAGCGCGGAGAAGATGGCGCACAGTGTACAACTGAGGGCAGAAATATGCTAATACGGGACAGTCCGTCAGCGGTCGTGGGTGGAGCCTGAGCAGTATGACATCATACTGCTCAGAAAATCAAAACAGCTTGATAATTGAGACTGTTTAGGTTTTTTGGGGATTAAAAAAAGGGACTGAATGGATTTTTATAGGGTGGTTGTGTCCAAACACTAGGGCTGCCCTCGACTAAAGACTTTTCTGGTCGACAAGTAGACGTTCATTTTAAGCATTAGTCGACTAATCGCACGTTTATTAATAAATCATTTAAATCATGCTAATGAGCCTTTAATTGCCTACATAGCCTAATAAGTGGCAGAAGTAATGATGATGAATGTGTCAGGGAAAAACAGTAAGATTAAACTGCATTAACATTTTAATAATCTATTGATAAACTAGTGTTTTCGGCTTAAGAGATGAATTCGGCGACACTGACTCGTCATCTCCACAGTAGTGGATGCGCCTGCATGCAAGTTTCATACAGATTACATAATCTGAGAATATTCGTTTTTTTCAGATTTGAATTGTTTCATTTGAAAGTAGACATTTCACTGTCTATAGATATATTTTTCATGTCTGTAAGGCAAGTATATTCAAGTTTCGCGCTCAAGTTCACAGAGACCGAGACGGCAGAAAGCGCATCCTGTTTGCTTTCATTATTTTACAAAAGTAAAATGTTTTGTTGTTATAGTGAGTGTACACAAATAAACGTAGAGGCTTTACAGATTCGAAAAATTTATTACTCTTATCCGTATGCCCAAAATGAGTATTTTAAGAGCAAGTGACTGCACCGGCGCCTCCATCTGTCATGCTGTGAGCGCTCTACTGTTCAGCTTTCACACACCGCACAGACACTTGAATAGCGCACATTTTTCTAGGTTAACATTAGAATGAGCGGCCATGTAAAGTTGCTACTACTTACATATTTCAGATGATAAGACATATTTGAGGTCGATGAATAGTGTTTGGATGTACTGTATTAGGCTACCACAAAATCCAGCCGTTAACAATCTGTCCGTCACGGACTGTATGACCTCACCACTTCATGTGGATTTTTTTTTCTGCGACTAAGCGGCTTATTAAATTTTGGTCGACCAAGCCTCTTCTCGTCGACTAAAGGTTAGCCGACTATTAGGGGCAGCCCTAGCACCATGTAAAAGTGAATTTTGCATCCAATGTCCCCTTTAAGAAACTTTAATTGTTCAAAAGTTTGTGGTTGATAAGGTTTGTTGGTTTACATTATATTTAAATTTTATGTAATGCGTTTTAATGTGAGAGACTTGTTGAAGACCCCTGGTCTACATCATTGTGACCTAACATCCTTGTTGAATGGAGTCTCTGATGCAGAGTCAACTACAGCATGTAGGCGCCCTGAATGTCAAACTCAGCGGTAGTTGATGATGATAAAGTGCATCTCTCTCAGATCCCACCGCCCATCCTTCTTACTCTTCCTCTATATGTTTGACAGGCCAAAGAATTATGGCTATTGTTCTGGCTTGGTCTCTCTCTTCTCTCATTCTCTTCCCTATCACCCTCTTTGGTTTTCCCTGTTTGTCTCATTACTATTTCACAGCATAGGTTTGTCTGTTTCAATTGCTTTCACTGTTTTTGGATTGTGTTTGGATTGAAGTAAAATGCATTGTCATCCCTGCTGCTGACATCTTTCTGAGAATGAATGACAGTACATAGACTATACCAAAAAAAAAATCACTATAGTTATATGTATTGACAAGCAAACAAAAATAGACAAGAAAATTAGAAAACTCAATGCTCTCAATTTTGTTTATTTGTTATTTATTAAGTATTGTTTTATTTAATATTAATTGTAATAACATTTTAATGTAGCATTATAATTATTTATTTCTCCTAATTATTGAGAAATGCTTTCAAGCTACATACTATTGTTTTAATTTTAATTTGTTAAAATTTATATTTATATTTAACTAAAGTAGTGTTTTTTACATTTTAATTGAATAATTCATTTTAATTAAAATATAAATATTAACACATTAAAAATGGCATTTTGATACCATGACAATTCTTCTTTCTTCTGTCCTCAGAGCAAAACAACTATCAGGCACAGTCTGCCGTTCCCTTGCGCATGGAGACTCATGGCGGTGAAGACGTGGCAATCTTCTCCAAAGGTCCCATGGCTCACCTTCTTCATGGAGTCCAGGAGCAGCATTACATTCCCCACGTCATGGCCTACGCAGCTTGCATCGGCCAAAACAAAGACCACTGCCGTACAAACTCTGGTTCCCCTTCTCTCAGTCACATCTCCCCTATGCTTGCCCTTCTTCTCGCAGTTAAATGGCTTCTGTGCTGACCCCTCTTCTTTGGATCATCTCTTATCCTATTGTGATTAGGTCAGGAACTATCCTAACTGATTCTCATAAGTGGAATTTATGATTTTTTTATAACGTGATTATTTTTTAAAGCATTTATCAATATTGGGACCAATGTGTGGGCATTATGGAGAGCTTGTTGCATTATTGAGACATTGTTGCAATAATGTAAACAAAATGTAAAAAGTGTGGTTAATTTATTTTCTTGCTGGTGTACTGAATAGCAGACACCAAAAAGATCACGCTTTCTGTGTCACAAGGCAACTCACAGATTGACATTCTGTCTGGAACAGAGAATGCTAGTGGAACGAATGCAAATTAGAGGATCGGAACTAATTGTTGTAAAACAAGCTCACACTACACTATTTTTGCTCTGAGATTTTGAGAGTTCTGCCAAGTCACAGGAGCTGTTTCACTTATCTCTTGTGAAGATTTTATCTGCTATGCATCTGTAAAAAGATATCTACACCACCGTTCAAAAATTTGGGATCAGTAAGATTTTTTTTAAAGTAATTAATACTTTTATTCAGCAAGGATACATTAAATTTATTAAAAGTGACAGTAAAGACATTTATAATATTACAAAAGGTTTCTAATTCTACTTCAGATAAATGCTGTTTTTTTTTACTTTGTTCATTAAAGAATTCAGAAAAAATAACCATGGTTTCCACAAATATATTAAGCAGCTGGTTTCAACATTGGAAAAAATAAGGAATGTTTCTTGAGCACCAAATCAGCGTATTAGAATGATTTCTGAAGAATCATGTCAAGACACTGAAGACTGGAGTAATGATGCTGAAAATTCAGTTTTGCATCTATATATAATAAAATATTTTTTTTCATCATATAAATGCAGCCTTGGTGAGCAATAGAGAATTTCAAAATCATTATAAAAATTGTTACTGACCCCAAACTTTTTAACGGTAGATATTAGAAGCAGATGTTTTCATGAGAATTATAAAATAAAAATGAGGTGATGTTGCTCTTTTTGGTATGTTTATAAGATAACACAACAGCTTTTCAGATTTTGTGTGCTTTGGGCAATGTGTAGTGTGAGCTTGGCCTTTTTAGTTACCTGGTTTCCCAAAAAATGTCAGCAAAGCAATAATTAAATGACTAGAAATAAACAATGAAGAAACCACAATCTGTGCTTATTAGTGAATGATTTAGTGACATATCATATAAGGCCTAACACAAAAATTACTCTACTTACAAGGATATAAGGATTCATTTGAAATCGAATACAATCTACCTCACTGGCATGTGATGCCTTACGTGCATTACATTCCCCTGTGAAGACCACTTCAAAATTCCCATTAAAGCAAATCACAGATTTAGAGCAACTATTACTATTTTAATTGTTACTTTTCCAGAAGGACTATTTTCTTTTACTATTAAAGCCATGTTTTCGTCCCTTGTATGCAAAGCAAAAATGTGCATTAATATTTGAAATGGAAATGCTTGATTCATTGATTTATCTGAAACAGAACTGTATCTGTAACCTGTTTGATCATCAGAACAAATGTGGAGTTTTTGAAATATTGTTTATCTACCATGTTTTCACATCATATTATTGAATGCAGAATCTGAATGATAGTTGTGCAATTGTTGTTTGTTTATAGCAGTCTATGAGTCTCTCTATGAATGTAGGCAATTCATGAATAATGGCAAAATATGGATTTAAAGTAAATGGCAAGAGTTTATTTTCCTTGGCTGTTCACTTGGACCCAAATCCAAACATGCCATTAAAGCAGACATTGCAAATCATTTAAAAAATATATATACAAAGGTCTGAAGATGGAGGAAAAATTACACAATAAAGAAACGTGTGGGGAGAAACTTTTTGTATTTCATTCTGTTTTAGGTGGCTTTCATTCACTGTTGTGGCTTTTGTGAAATGCACAGAGCTCAGCCACAGTAAATGGCCTTCAGTGAGCAATATGGAAAAAGACTATGACTGACATTGACATTTAGACATGAGAATCTATGCTGATAGTTTAAAAACACTACCATCATCAGATTTTAACGACTTTTAGAAAAGGATTGTGACCACAGTGCTCAGATGCATTTCCATAAAACACACAATTATGCAGTGCTGTGAGGAATTTCTGGTAAAACAAGTCAGCACCACCAGTTTGCACTAATCTGTCCTGTGGCATGAGAGAGATTATAACGCACACATTTTATTCTCTCATTTATGTCGTAGTGTGTGACAAACCAGACAAACTCTCTCTCTGTCAGCCTGCTGCTTTAATGAGGGAATGTGATATTTGTTTTTGATGTCACCTGAGAGACTACCTCTATGGAAATGAGTCCCAAACTCATCTTCTTTTAGCTTCTTTGACCTCTGATGGTGTCCCAGTCGAGTTGTCTTTATCATCATCCAGCCATTTTACATTACATGACAATTTGCCAGAGCTTCCCCACCCCTTTCTCCAAGGCTAGTGATTTTTATATCCGCCATCTAGATGTGCCTATATCACCCTGACATTCAAATGCCAGAGCTGTTCATTTCCATAGGCTGGGAGCGCTAGTGTCCTTCTGGCCTTCGCAAAGTATTGATAAGGTATAAAGCAGTGGGGGAAGTGTGGCGGCTGCTATACCCTGCACTGTTCTGAAATTGTGGTAAAATGAGATTTAAATGAACGGGGTACAGAATAGAGCCTGAAACTATTTTTTTTTCTTTTACAGCAAATGGTCAGTGAAAAAGGGGCTTAAGCTTGAGAAACATCAGTGACTCATACAAATTATAAGCTATAAATATCTAATCAGCCAATCACATGGCAGCAACTCAATCCATTTAGGCATGTAGACACGGTGAAGTCCAAACTCAGCATCAGAATGGGGAAGAAAGATGATTTAATTGACTTTAATGTGGCATGGCTATTGGTGGCAGACAGGCTATTCTGAGTATTTCATTAACTTCTGATCTACGGGGATTTTCACACATAACCATCACTAAGGGTTACAGAGAATAGTCCAAAAAAGAGAAAATATCCAGTATGAGCAGCAGTTCTGTGGGGAAAAAAGTCTTGTTGATGCCAAAGGTCAAAGGGGAAAGGCCAGACTGTTGGTGGAAGATCCTTTTCCTATTTAGTGCCCAAACTCTGGAACAATCTACCTAGCGTTGTTCGGGAGGCAGACACACTCTTGTCAGTTTAAATAGATTAAAGACCCATCTCTTTAACCTGGCATACACATAATACACCATCGCATTTCTATAATTCATATCCGTTAAAGGATTGTTAGGCTGCATTAATAAGGACAACGGGAACTGGGAACTCTTCCCAAAACACCCGATGTACTTGCTACATTGTAAGAAGAATGGCATATACGCCAATATTAGACTCTTTCATTCTTATTCCGAGGTCACCGTAGCCATAAGGATCCAGTCTGTATCCAGATCAGATGGTCACCGTAACCACCCAGATCCAGTCCATACCCAGACCAGATGGTGGATCAGCACCTAGAAACGACCTCTACAGCCCTAAATGTCAGCGGAGACCAAGTCAACTAGATGCGCCCCAGACAGATCCCCTGCGAAGACCTTGTCGTCCATCGGCACAAGACCACGGTGTTACTGTCGGCTCATGGCCGCAACAAACAAAGGAACCATCCACCAAAATCTCAAAATAACACGTTTATTACATAATTCTAGGGGGTTCACATAATATACCATGACATTTCATGGCAATTGAAAAGTCAGAGAATACGGCAAAACGACAAGTCAAGCGAGGCAATCCAACACCAGGTGGAGATGATGTCACTTCTCCATACTTATATACATACAATATTATATCTCCCGCTTCCTAATTGATTCAGGTGATCCTCATCTCTCCTGATACCTACAAGAGAACAAAAAAAAAAAAATTAACACCCTTACACCATAACAACGGGAACCAGACAAGTCCTCTGCACAATCTGACCTGTGTTGCAACCTGGAATTAAACCACGCCATGCTGGTTTCTTCTGGCCAGAGGAGAACTGGCCCCCCGACTGTGCCTGGTTTCTCCCAAGGTTTTTTCTCCATATCTGTCACCGATGGAATTTTCGTTCCTTGCCACTGTCGCCTTTGGCTTGCTTAGTTGGGGATGCTTGACTAATTGCACAGACACTATTGAAAGAGAACTGAACTGGATGATGACATCAATGAATCATCAATGAACTGACTTTAGCTGGAAAAATGGCTCTTTGTTATTGACCTCTTGCATAATTGACAAACTATTTTTCTGTTTGACACTGTAAAGCTGCTTTGACACAATCAGTATTGTATAAATAAAGGTGACTTGACTTGATTTGGTCCACCACGGACTTTACCGGCCATGGCCGTCGTTGTCCCTGTGCTTCAAATCTGGTGGTCCCAAGTCCAGTGGTCCTGGAGGTCATTCCACTGTCCACAGTGCTTCCGGTAATGGCCAATAATAACCTGGGCTGCACACATTTCTCCAGAGGCAGCAGAGTCCCCTACAACACTGCTTTCTTGAGTTGTTTTGCTCAAACTCAATTGCTCTAAATCTGCAATAACCATAGCCAATGAGGATTTCACTTGATTAGCTGGGAGACTAGTCGTATTGCCCACTCTAGTGGATGACTAAAGATTTGTTAGCAAAATCTTGTATGCTTGGATGAGTGTATGCTTCTGATTTTACAGCTGCTCACGCCCCCTTTGATGGGTGCTGGCACCCCATAGGTTGAAAACTCTAGCTCCATGTCACTGCGATGGAGGCTGTCCATGAACTTCCTGTGCTCCCTGTCACAGCCATGGAGGCTATCCACGCCTGCTTAGTCATGCCTGTTCTGTCACAGCCACGGAGGTTGTCAATACCTGCTCTGTCACGGCCACTGAGGTTGTCAATAACTGCTCAGTCACAGCCATGGAGGCCATCCACACCTTCTCCGTCATGGCCAAGCAGGTTGTCAACACCTGCTTAGTCATGGCCACGGAGGCCGTCCAATTCTGCTCAGTCACGGCCAGGAAGGCGGTCCACGTTTCTGCTCCGCCAACTCAGACCACTATCACTCTACCTCTGTGGTCTTCTGCTCCTCCATGACGTCCTGTTCCATTGTTTCTGTCTCCATCTCTGCTGACTCTACCATGGCCACCTGATCCTTTATGGTCTTGTCCTCTGCTACACACTCGAGGCCTGCAACCATGCCATGATCCAGACTTGCTTCCGCTGCATGGCCCATGTCCACCACCATGCCATGATCATTGTTTTTGTCAACACATGTTTAACCTTGATATAAACCTCAGGGGGTCATATACAGTATTAGCTATAAATATTTCATATTTAATATAAGGTAAATATTTAATATAAAGTATATATATATATTTCATATATTTATATTTCTTATAAAATCTATAAATATTTAACAGCATTTGATACGAAATAATAATAATAATAATAATAATAATAACAAAATTAATACAAAATATATATTTGGTATATTTAACCAAAATATTATTATTATTATTAATAAATATTAAACTCTAATACTACTATACACAATAATACTAATTATTATGCT